CCATATCATCACTTTTAGATTTCTGTGAGAAGAAGATCACAGACTAGTCAACCTAACTGTCAGCCTTTCTCATACTCAACTCATGGCCGACTTCAAAATGAAAGACTGCTGGATTTCAATCAAAATGCTTTGACTTTGCCCCACAGCGGGTTGGCGCCCCGTCCTGGGTTATTCCCTGCCTTGTGTCCATAGCATTTGGGTTCTGGACCCCCAACAACATTGCAAAGGATAAGCGGGTATAGAGAACTGATGGATAGATGGATGGATGGATGGATGGATGGATGTTTTGGCTTCTTTTTTGAAGTTTCTCTTTTTCACCAAAGTTGCCTTGTAGCTATTTTAATGTCAAAAGACTGCAAGATGATTTGGATGAGAGATGGATGAGACGGCACTTTAACAACATTATACTGCTTGGTTTTTTCCAGCTGAGACATTTTTATGGAAAGTGAATATTATGTTAACATGTGTGAACTGCTGTACAAAACAGCAAACTGAAATTTAATTTTGAGGAAATAAAAATGTGCAGAAAATGCCCAGTGTTAACTATGCTTGTGTAGTGAGTTGGGTGTGTCCTTCTCTGTTATCGCTCCCCTTCCTGAGCATTTCCTTCGCTTTTCCCAGCATTATCTGTGCTGATGAATGTTGGCTATGTTTATTTTCTGCCTGCACAGACAGGAGCAGTGGCAATGCCATTTCACTGCTGATGTACCATTACATTCATGCATGTGACAAATAAAAATCTTGAAATTTGAATCTAACTCCTCAATTCTGGCTAGTGAATGGGTGCTGGTGCAGAGGACTGCTGCTCATTACTGAACCCCCAGCTGATTGTATTTCGCACTTGCTGGAGGTATCCGAGCCTCGCCAAGGGCCCATATGACACAGGCAGCACACTGGGAACACAATAAGTATTAACAATAATAATATGAAAGGGGCTATTTACAGTTGCCCAAGAGCATGCTGCGATATATAAATCCCGCTGATGCTATACTGCCCCCCCCCCCGCCCCCCACGAAGGTAGACCGTCCCAGCGACCACCACCACCAGTCCCCACCTCAGTTCTGAAGCAAGTCACCGGTGTGTCACTTCCATTGGTGGAGGGCCATCAGCTCCCAATGCTCATGGGCACTGGAGGGGCATATCTGCTGGCAGGCGCTGGGGTGACCGATCCCCCCGGCCGCACACCCTTCTTCTTGCCCGCCTTATGTGGACCTGATACCCCTTCCGGAGGGTCCTCCTGAGCAGGAAACAGTGCACCGTGAGACCCCCACAGCCAGGCCCCCCTTTTTGGAGACAGCCAGCGGACGACACAGTTGGGGGCCCCGGCCCTTCTTCCGCAACCTTGGGGGGGCTGTTGTTGGCCGCCAGGCTGGTTCTACTGCGAGGCCTCCTGCTTCCCGGGCGGAGTGGTCCTGCAGATCCTCTCCTGCACCACACCTCGGGCAGCCTCACGCAGCCGTGCCATTCCGGCCATCTCCTCCCGCCGCTCGTGGAGCTCCTCCGTCAGCAGGGTCTGCATAGCACGGCATGTGATGTAGAAGAACATGATGCTATACAAACGTAGTTGCCACACTTGCTATACAATACAGTTTTGTATTCCAAACCTGTTCTTTATATCACTGAGAGGTAATGAGCATTTTAGCAGTGACCACAGTCTGAGAGGAGTCTGCATAGCACGGCTCCTCTGAGAGGAGTCTCAGACTGTGGTCACTGCCAAATGCATGATCCTGTGCTGCAAATTTTCACATATACCAAATATTAACTAACATTGAAATTCTGAATTAAGTAATCAGGACACAATTTCAGCAATTTGAATTGCATATCTAAATTTACACCATAGCTTTGGTAAACTATTGGTGACTATTTTCCTATTAGTCCAGAGATGTCAGGTGGGTGTTGATCATTTTTGTGTAATCACACAGGTTGCTTCGCCAGCCTAATTGCCTTCCGTATTAATGTATTTTAATGTTTTATTTAAACATGTCATGTTTTACTTAAAGTGTCATGCCCTGCATCCATGCCCCTCTCATTCACCTGTTTCTTATTTGTCGTACCTCTCGTTTCAGCCCTTGTGTGATTCACACCAGATACCTCTTGAAAATACAGTTAACTAATTGGTGGGGAAATATTTTGTAAATTGGCATGTAAGCTAGAATGAATAGGTGTAGTTTCAAAGTTACATGCCAAATTGTAGAACCTTTAATAAAATGTTCTAATTTTGACAGTAGAAAAACACATTGATTGGCTTTCACATTTCCAGTCGACCCTTCCAGTAATTGTAGATATTGTAGAGGTTGGGAGTGTAGGAGGAGTAAGGATTGGGGGGGAGGTGATGAGGGGAACATCACTGTCATTCCTACAGCACCTTTTCCAAGTTCTACCTTTTCTTGCATAGCAGTAAACAGATTCACATACACAGGCTCACACTAAATGTTACTCAGCTGTTAACCTGAGCCTTTCTTTTTGACCTAATAGAGGAAGCAAATACTGCAGAAGATTTGTGGAGGGAACACTGCCGTCCTTCAGTAGCATGTTCCCTGAACCACTCTGACTTCCCAGACCGCCTTTAAACAATCACAGACCACTCACTTCTAAATGAAACTGCTCTTGGCTGATCACTTCTTTGACAGCTGAAATGAAGCACGCAGGAAAGGAATGTTCTGTCTTCAACCAGGAATTCATAGCCACATTTTCACCAGCATGAGACCAGTGAGCAGCACACACTGGATGACATTTCTGGTCTGTAGTACAGTGAACAAAGCAGCATGAATTGCTTGACAGTTCAGTTTTCTCTCACAGACCAAAGACAGACTAAAATGGTCTTTTAGAGATTTTTATGACATTGTGGGGGCCATTTGTTATTTGTTGTTTATTTTACATAGATATGCTAAAATAGTATGGACAGATTTGTTGGTACCCCTAAAGAGACTATTTATCCTTGCATTATCTTTAACTTTAATTAGCATCATAGGTGACTTTAAGCTTTTCATCAGCCATTCAGCCTATTTAAAGGGACAGAACATGCTACTGTGTTGTTTGGTATCATTGTGGCATCACACTGAACATGGACCAGGGAAAGCAAAGGAGAGAGCTGTCTGAGGAGCTCAGAAAGGAGATTATAGATAATCACGTTAAAGGTAAAGGCTGTAAGACCATCTCCAAGCAGCTTCATGTTCCTGCGACCACAGTTGCCAATATTATTAAGAAGTACAAGGTTCATGGGACTGTAGCCAACCTCCCAGGACGTGGATGCAAGAGGAAATGCAACCCCAGCTAGATCAAAAGGATAGAAAAAGAGCCAAGGAAACCATCCAAGACCATTCAAGCTGAGCTCCAAGGTCAAGGTAGGTCCCTTTCTGATCGCACCCTCCGTCGCATTTTGAACAATAATGGACTCCATTGGAAGAAGACCCAGGAGGGCCCCACTATTGACAGAAAAACATAAAAAAGCCAGAGTGGAATTCACCAAAATGCATATTGACAAGCCCCAAAGTTTTTGGGTGAATGTTCTTGGACTGATGAGACAAAACTGGACCTTTTTGGCCAGTCACATCAGCTCTATGTTTACAGAAGGAAAACTCTAAAAGAAAAGAACACTAAACCTACTGTGAAACATGAAGGGGGGCTTGATTTTGTTTTGGGGCTGCTTTGCTGCATCTGGCACAGAGATCCTCGAATCTGTGCAGGACACAATGAAGCCTCAAGACTTCCAAGGCATCCTGGAGCCCAGTGTCAGAAAGCTCAGCCTCAGTCACAGGTCATGGGTCCTCCAACAGGATAATGACCCAAAACATACAGCTAAAAGCACTCAAGAATGGCTGTGGAAAAAAAACATTGGACTATTCTTAAATGGCCCTCTATAAGCCCAGATCTTAATCGTACTGTACTTTTGAACATCCATGGAAAGATCTGAAAATTGCAGTGTGGAGTCACCACCATTCAAACCTGAGGCAGCTTGAGCAGTTTGCTCAGGAAGAGGGGGCCAAACTACCTGTTGGCAAATGCAGACGTCTCATTGTGAAGTACAGAGATCGCTTGTTAAATTAAGGGTACCATCTTTTTTTGTCTGTGCCATTTTCCTTTGTTGAATTGTATACAATTTTCAACTGAATCAATGAAAAGCAAAGTCTGATTTCTGTTAAATATGGAATAAACAATAAGGGAGGCCATTAAACTTAAGTTATTTCAGAGGTAGTGTGTTTTTTTTTTTTTTGTGGAAGGGTACCAACAAATTCGTCCACGTCTATATTTACTTAGTGTTCGTACAACCATGGAAGACCTTTCCGCTGAACCCCTGCACACACTGACCAGGCTGTTTCATTAAGACACGCTGCTTGTTATACCTATAGAGGTATAATTACCCAATTAGGAAACAGCTGCTCTCACTCTGCGTCTCGCTTGGATGACGTCACATGCACAGCCGTCTGCTCCTGGTCACGGTCAAAGTACCCAAGCAACAAGGAATTTATTTTCCGATAGAAGAAAAGTCAAATGTTTGAGTCCTTCTGAAGGTTTACTTTCTGTCTAATATGATGATAGTGTCTTCATGCTGTCGTGTTATTTAGTCTGATTGTTTCAAAGTTGCTTAGATGATATCTGCTCCTGTTTTGCACAATAAACTGACTAGATTTATTAGTTTTGCTATGAATTACAATATTTAGTTCAAACATCAATATCACACAACGATATTATGCATTGTGAATTACTAATATTGGATGTACCTTTAAATACTTTAAAGTTATAATATTCCAGATAAACTACTATGTAATTCAAGAAAAATCAGATGTTGGCTTTACAACAGCAAAATACATATATTGATGCCCTCCAGTCCAGTGGTAATATGGTGGAGTGACTGAGACTGCAGGATATTGGAGCATCATAATGTGCTGTAATTTGAGTCTCCCTTTGTTGAAAGGCACAGGAGACTCCTGTGGGCAGACAAACGAGTGGTATGTCCTTATTTAGGCAATGAGTTTGGAACTTGGTGCAGTCCCCTGCAAAGCTCTGGGCTGAGGAAGCAACCAAAGCAAGGCTTGGCTGGATGTTAAGTTTTCTGCGCACACTGGGACTATTGGAACTAAAGAATATACCACTTTTACATTATTTTACTATTTGATCATTTTTATCAGGGAGAATAACTGCTGGTGACCTTTTTTTGTGTTTTAGATGAAAATGAGAAGCTATTCTTTTTTTCTCTTGATCTTCGTTCACTACATTTCTTAAGGCGAAATGCCACATGGTTTTGGATTCTTCACCTGGGTTTAAGATGACCCTTCAACAGAGAAGTACCTCCAGCTTGAGAGGAGATGGCACTGAGGTGAAATCTGGGCTGCAGGAGAAAGAGAAGGCAAGTTTATAACATCACCAGCCGAACAACAGCAAGCAAGAAACAATAGGCTTAGATTTGTTTCACATTAAATTTACTAAGAAATAGCATTGAATTCCCTGTAATCGTAAAGGTCTTGAGAATCTCCTTTCACCTTATCTGAGTTCTTATTTTCAAACAATGTTGCCCAAATCAAAGGAGTTCATATTCTTTCTCAGAAACACTCCAGAAGTTATCAGGACATCACTTATTATAGTAAAATACAATAATAGTAATTATAATAATACTCATTTGTATCTTCAAATGCATTTTTAAAAGTCTTAATAGATATTACACTGTTCACATATTATATTAATTCTATATTTATATATTTCTAATAAGACAAGGACAGGCCTTACCATCGAAAATATAAACTATTTTTCTCATGTGTGGGATAACCTCATGCATGTAGTAACACAGAATAATCTGGCATAGCTTGATTGTGCTGCCTTCAGATCATTACTATGAATCGCTTAATGACTTTAATGAATTTAAAGCATTATGGACTGGTAATGACATAAAATGACTAAGACAATGCACATAATAGTAGGTAATGTGAATAAAGTGGGCAACTACGAAGCTGTTTGATCACAAGCTGATTGTCTATAGGTGTCTTTCCTTATTATAAATAGCTTTTATACTATGGACTACCTTAAGATTTCTTATCTCCAGGTTGTGTTTAGCATGTATTGAAACTAATTTAGTAATTATAAAAGTAGCACGCTATACATCAGTTGAGCTGAGTTCAGCTCCTGCTGAATTTAACATTGTAACACTGTAAAGGCACAAAGCTGTTATACTGTGTGAAGGTTTTACTGTGGAGCAGAAAGTAAACACAGTAGCTCAGTGTGTTGCAGGTTTAATTAGAATTCGATATTCGATAAATATTTAAAAAGGTATTAAATACCTTCATTACAAAAAACAATGAAGAGCTTTTATTTTTAAAATCAAAGTCATCTTTATGCAAATATACATGAAAAACTGAATATTATCCAGTGTTAATAGAGCCACAAAAATACGAAATAAGAGCCTGCAATTATAAATAACTTCATATATGTCTGGAAAGCATATAAAATAGCTTAATGGTTAGTGGTCATCATAACAACCAAGATCTGGGTGAGCAATTATGAATGGATGGATGGATGGTTGGTTGGTTGGTTAATAAATTGTCTAATAAATTGTCTAAACTGAAAAATTTTGGTGGCAATTTTCTGATTCCATGAAGTGCTGGTTGACAATCAGTGTCATATTAACAATGCTTACTTTTACAGAAAGCATTCTTATTTCAACAGAATTATTGCCAAACGTGATTTAATTGCTTTGCTGCTAACTATACAGTAAATTAAAAATCATTCATGTACTTGCAGGTTTATAAAGTACCACACAGTTGCAATTTGGCCAGAAGTAGGACTGTTAAGATGTTTCTCCGTAACCCAGGAGAGTGAACCAATGTAAACAAATGTTCAGAATCATCAACAGTTTTTGCTGCATGGTCTTCTAGGACCTGGGGTCTTCCTACATTTCAACATCGCAATGACTGCTCTAAATGTACATTACTCAATTGGAATTTTTGAAAATAACTGTAGCTATTTGATATATTTTTAACTAAAAGCTTGTGGGCACATTGCAGGGTACCCTAGCTTTTTGAAGACCACAGACTGGCTGATGTTGTGCAAAAATTTCATGGACCTTAAAACTTTTCTTTCTCGGGGTGGGGGGGTGATGGACTGGCAGTGGAAGCAGGACACATTTGCCAATATAACATGTTTAGTTGTTTCCATTCCTTTTCAGATGCAAATATCGGGGGTTTTAAAAAATGGTGTAGCTGAAAAAGCTGTAATGTATTTTACTGGACCAGAACGATGTCAGGTTGAAGACTCCTGGGGTGCAGGATGTTACTCGTCATTGATCTCCATAAACAACTTCATATAAAAGCATAACATAATGAGATTACATTCTCAAAGTCATCAAATACGTACCCATCAACCAACCTGATGTACTGCGGTTTTTAATAACCTGTATAACTGTATAAAAATGCTAATCAAACTAAGCATTTCCTGAGTTTTGCAATCAGAAACATGTACTCAGGCTAGTCAGCATTTCAGAACTGCCCATAGTGTCTGGCTGTGGGAGTCCATATGTGCCCTGTGGCAGGCTGGCATTTCAGAACTGCCATAGATACGCTCCAGTCTGATGGATCGATGGAAAAAGCACTCTGTCCCTAACATTAATAAACCACCATGTAAATGTTATAATCTTGTTCTTAACATCTTTATTTTTAGTCATATTTTCTCATTTTTAATCAGGATTCTTTGTGCTTTTTTCTCATTCTTTACTCATCTTGTCTTGAAAACACTTCATATTTTGTAGCTGCGTCATGTTCTTCCCATAATTTATTAGCTAAGTGTTTCTCCCTAAAAAGCAAATAAAATATCAGTCCCAGAGGCTGCTTGTATTAATCTTTCATTTTTGTTCATGAGAGCAGATACATAGACACATCTATGCTGTAAAGTAGTTAATCTCTGAATAATTGTTGTGCGGGAATAATCTTTTCTTATCTGGATAATGTGAAAAGTCATACCCAGAGAAGCTGAACATTTAATCAAATACAGTTAATAATAAAGGGTTATTGATGCCCTTGATACCACAGGTTTTCATCCTAAAATCATTTAAAAATAAAACAAGCATTACGAACCAAGTTTTTTGGCGCATTTTGGAGATTTATTTATGTATTGTTACATGATGCATGAATTTAATCAAAATCAGCATTTTGTCTTTTTTTTTTTTTACTGTAACAAGAAATTAGCATTTGTCTGTAAGCCTAATGACTGATAACAATGATTGCTGGTTTACACTGAAATCATCATAGCTGTGCTTCAGAGAAAATTCATTAAATCTGTTTATTTTCAGAAAACGAAAACGGCTATGCTGCGAAGACACTCCGCCTCCTCGGTGATCACAAAGGCACTGAGCAAACCACGAACTCAAAACAGGTTAGCTATCCTTGAAGGAAACTCCATATATTAATCCATGTGTCCCTTAATTTATGTTATATGGTGCCGCAGACTCAACACGGAATCGTACTGTGAGTATTCTTACGTAATCATACGCTGTGAGTACTCTTACGTAATCAAACACTTGAAGTATAAATACCCCTGTTATTACCATTACAATGCCCACAGAAAAGTTTTTAATCATTTATTTTTATTGAATTGTTTGGGTGCCATGACTGTTCATCTGATCTAACTTCCATTATGTGTATTATAATGAAGCCAAAATAAATGGGTCATTTCCATGTCAAAAAATTTAAGACTCAGGCTACGTTATCAGTATTATACATCGAGGCCATTTCCTTCTCAGCATCAATAAATGAAATACACAGTGTTAATAATTATGGATATCAAGAAAGGCCATGAAATATCATTTTTCATACCATTTTCTCAGGGTAATGGAATAATTATCTTGAGATCTGCAGAAAACGGACGTTTATTGGTGATAGTGGAGCCAATTAGCTGGGTGGCACGGTGATTAGCACCTCTGGGACCTGGGCTTGAGCTCCCACACCCCCAACCCCCCCACAACCCCACCCCCACATGTGAAGGTATGTTTGTTCTTCCTGTGCCATTGTGGGGTTTTCAAAGTTCACAAGCACATTACAGTGAACTTGAATTGCTAAATTGTCCAAATAATTAAATAACTAAAATTCAGAAAACAATATAAAAATAATGACATTTCATGGCCTTTCTCAGCTTCCCGGCTAAACAAATATAACTGAAATCTTGTATGACATGAATTGCACCACAATTACATAATGTTCATTCTTATTAAAATCCATAACTTATCATACACCTGACACTGCATGACTGCATCTTACTAGCTAATAATTTTATTAATACACAAATATGCTATATTGTTATACAGCTTACTTTGAGTTGCTCATATGGATCTTGCCATGATTCACTTAAGAAAAGAGGGACAGAGCAAAGTCAGACAGCAACCTTAAGTGCAGCAAATATGGTCATACAGAGAGATCAAGTGGGTGCCATACTTTATCCTATCACAAATGTTTTTACATTGGTGACAGGCTACTAACGTTTATGCTGCCCCCAAGCTTTGGTTTGGGTTAAGCCTTAGATACTTTATCCCCCTAACTGAGCACTGTTCAAGCTCACTGTCTCCACTGGATGTTGTGCAGCATGATCCAAAGGCCTGCACTGTTGCCTCTGTGATCAAATTCCTGACTTTATTTGGCTGCGGAGCTGTTTCATCATGGTAACAGCAACAAAATAATCAGAGGTGCAAATCTAAACAATGACTGTGAAATATGGGCCTGGAATTTAAGTGTTGTGCCATCTTAACTCTAAAAAAGTGAGGAATTAAGTTGCTGTACTTCACTCTGTTAGCAAAGGTCAAAAAGTAATCTCTGGCTTTGGTGTCAGACTTTAACAATATCCTGTTGGGTTTTACATGGACACTTGATATTATAGCAACAACAAAAAAAAAAAATCTGGCATAGCACCGTAAAAATTTTCAAAAAGTGACAGATGACGGCTTAAATCCTTAGAAACCTTTTTTATTCTATATTTACGATATATCTTAACTTTTCCCTTATTCTTTCTATATGTTTATGCATAGTGGCTGAACTGTTTTGCTATAATAACATTTGACTGCCACAGTTTTGCATGTGACAAAAAAAATAGCTGCTTGTTCTTCATTAAAGATATTAAACGTTCCAATTAAAATTCCTGCTTAGACCTATGGTTCCACATTGTCCATTTTCAAAATGATCAGCGTTAACACATTAAGACTATGACAATGCAAAAAAAACCATGTAATTCATTCAAAATGACAGAAGAAATAAGCATACTTCTGATTTATTCTAGTCTAATCTGCCATTATACATCTGTGTGGTGACATTACATTTTCCACCACTAGGACACCTGATTTGTTGAAAGGCCTGAAAACTCAGTTGACCCAGGCATGCTGCTTTTGGAACACAAGAGAAATTGTCGTCTGTTGCTAAATGCATGGATCTGTAACAGTACATTCAGATACATGCAAGAAAAAGATATAAATGTATGACATGTATTGGTATCCATCCTCTGATAACTGACAGAAGTTACTGGCATTCAATGTTCCATATTCTATAGACAATTTGTTTTTGATTGATGACCTATTTGTAAGTAATGTATTGACTTTTGGCCACAACTGTACATCCCACCTTGATGAGAAAAGAAGCACAATTAGGATGAAGATGGACTTTATTAATCCCAGGGGGAAATTCTCAAGCAGCAAGAGCACGAACATGCATTCAGTGCGAAACAGACAAGGTGCAATGACAGGACACACAGTGCTCACAAAGCAAATGTAGTGTAAATAGGTTTTAAAAGTGCACAAATACACACAGTACACAAATAAAACATCCAAAAAAAAAACAGAATATTGTGATGCTACATTTAAAAATAAATAAATATTTAAATTATAATAAATTAGCAAAGGTATGTATGCAATTAGAATAAAGAGGACTGGTCTTTTACTGACTTTTAATGACTCCAAGATGCATGTAGTATATCGTAAGGAATGATCTGGTTTACCTTGTTTCATATTACTTTTGGTCTCTCTTCAAATGGAATTAACATGAATTATTTAATATCTTTGTGCATTTCTTTCTTTGCCACAGGAATAATGCCAAAATTTTATATTCTGGCAGAAACAGTCTTATTCAGAATTTCTCAACCCAGAGCAGAATGTTCATCATGGATGATTGCATTCGAATGACTATGGGGCTACAGACCCAAGAAAGACATCTGTTCCTCTTCACTGACACATTAATTATTGCCAAATCAAAGTGAGTCATGATCAGTTTTCAGACAATTATTTATTCCCTTTGTATTCTTGTTCAATTGTAGTGTAAATATATTTCAGTAGCGGTTATATGTATTATTACAAAAAACTGAACCTGATTAATCAAAATGGATGATTTTATACTTACAGATGAACTTTACACCGTACATAACTATTCAAATAAAACTGTTATAGCACTAACAGTATATTCCTTACTCACAAAGTCAATTCATTCTATGTGTGTTTGTTTTTTGATTTAGGTCTTCAGCTAGTTTGAAGGTGAAGCAGCAGTTACAGCTTTGTGAAATGTGGTTTGGCTCTTGTGTGCATGAAGTTACCGGGAGGAAATTGAGTTTTAAAAACTCCTTTGTAATTGGCTGGCCCACCACCAACTGCGTGGTCTCCTTCAGGTACGGAATCCCTTGATAGCCTTCTGAGAAAGAAATAAACGCATTTCTCTTGCGGCTGATAGAGGACAGTCACGAAATTTCATATTTATCCCAATTACAAATATTTTGATATTTTAAAATGTTTTATACAATAGCATGATATTCTCCATTTCATTCAGATCAAACAACACAAAAGAGAAGTGGCTTTCAGCTTTACAATGGTAAGAATTTATATTCTGATGAGCTTAAATCTGTAATGGTTACTAAATGATATAATGCATTTTAAACTCATATCACTTTCACTTACCGTTATTTCTTCCTCTAGGCACATCAATAGATTAAAACAAGAAGAACATCCCAATAAAATTGCTATAAAAATCATGTTGCTCTCAGGAAACAGTCCATCGGTAAGGGAACCTACGTATTTTTTCATTGTCAATGTGTTTTTAAACTTCCATGTGTAACTTATAGGAATTGCAGTGCAGTTATGTACGATTTAATGCTGTTGATTTAAAATTCCATTTAGACAACCACTGTACCTATCAGCAATACGGATACTACTGAGAAAGTGATAAGCATCTCAACTAAGCAACTTGGAATGCCAGTAAGTTAGAAGTAACTTGTGTTTCAGTTTTGTATTTCAAAAAATGCATGTTTATTATTATTATTATTATTATTATTATTATTATTATCATTATTATTATTATTATTTCTGAGTTTATAGTATATTGTATGTTCCAATAGTACAGACTGCATAATAATTTGGAACATTGTATTTTTGTTTGTTTCTGAATATATAAAACTGTTTTTATTATCAGGTATTGTTGGTTCTGTTTACACCAACAGATATTATTATTATTATTATTAATAATAATAATAATATCTGTTGGGTCCATTATTAATAATAATAATACATAATATTATTACTAATAGTAATAATAATGGGGTGGCATGGTGGTGCAGTGAAATGCACTGTTGCCTCACACCTCTGGGATCAGTGCCCAGGTGGTGCAGTGAAACGCACTGTTGCCTCACACCTCTGGGATCAGTGCCCAGGTGGTGCAGTGAAACGCACTGTTGCCTCACACCTCTGGGATCAGTGCCCAGGTCCATGTGTGTGGGGTTTGCATGTTCTCTCTGTGTCAGCGTGGGGTTTCCTCTGGGTACTCTGGTTTCCCCCTGCTCATTGGTATGTGTGAGTGTGCCCAGCAATGGGTTGGTGCCCCATCCTGGGTTGCTCCCTGCCTTATGCCAGTAGCCTCTGGGATGGGCTCTGGACCCCCCGCAAGCCCGAGTAGAATAAGAGGTTTCAGAAAATGCATGGATAATAATAATAATGCTAAATATGTTGCCTGGGAGAAACCAGATAAAGAGTATTCTAATTTCCTGTTTGTTTATTTATTTATATGTTTGTTTGTTTTGCTGGTTTTTAGTGATTTGGTTTCTGTTGCCTCCCTTCCTGAAAATGCCAACTTCCTTTCCCCACAGGGCAGATCTGTTGACTACTGTCTCTGGGTCATTTCTGGAAGAGAGGAAGCTCCATATCCACTTATCGGTGAGAAAATACAACAGAATATGCACACAAAGTTCCTAATTATTTTGCCCATGCCGTTTTTGGTTTATTCTTTGTATTCTATAAACAGTTACCTCTATTTAGTTACTTTTTTATTGTTAACATAATAAAATAATATTACTTTTTAAATGTTGATGTAAACAGAAGTAACAATACCTGATAATAAAAACAATTTTATATATTCAGAAACAAACAAAAATACGATGTTCCAAATTATAATTCAGGCTGTACTTTTGGAACATGCAATATGAAATCTGTTGTATTGAGACCTAATTACAAATGAATGCCGAAGCCCTTCCTTGAAATTACTTGAACAACTTTCTCATCCATTGCTCTTCTGAGCGCATGTATAGTATCTGTCCCATTTTATCAGAAGATGACAGCATTGCCTCCCTGAGCTTCTGTTGTGAGATGTGCTGCTACCCTTCCTTATATATTTTCCTCTTCATAATTCTCCATACATTCTCAGTAGAGCTGGGGTCAGGGGGTGATGGTGACCAAACCATGATTCGGTCTCGTTTTATGCCCAAAGCATCCGAGGAGTCCATGGTGGTCTTGGCACCAGGTGATGATGTATTGACCTGCATGAACAGCATTTCAGACGGCACAACTCTCCTATTTATACCAGGGCAGGAAATCTTCCTTTAAGAAGTTCACATACAGTATTAATGTCAGTTTGGGCCCACATACAGTATGTGCGCTTTTTTGACTTACATGCATTCCACCATTAACTAAAGCAGAGGTGGGCAATCTTATCCACAAAGGGCTATATGCAGGTATTCACTGATTACTAATCAGAAGACTGATTGGCTGAATAGTCCTCACACCTGGGTTTGAACAGCTGACCTAAAGGTTATCCTAAAAACCTGCATACACTCCAGCCCTTTGCAGATAAGATTGCCCATCCCTAAACTAAAGTTTTGAGTTTTCTTGCCACAAAGAGAGAAATGCACTTTGGGCAATGTAAATGACCCCCTCTGCACATTCCGCCATTGACTTAAGCACTTTTAAGAGCTTTTCCAACTACGTCCTGGTCAAACTGAGTATTGTATTTTTTAGAAAGTCTAACATGTAACAAAATAAAACTTAACATTTATTATATATCTAGTATTAAAATCTAAAATGGATGTAAATAACACAATTATATACACAACAGAATATACAAATATATTATATTTACGCTAGATTCAACACAGGTGATATCTGCCTTATCAACTTGCCTAGCGGGCAAGTCAGTTAGGCTAAATGACTGGTTGATTATAATAGGCTGGTTGATTACTGGTTGATTTACAAATTCCAATTACAAATAGGTTGAAAGGAAACAGTGTATCCTCACAATCCTACGCCACATTGCCTGTGCTGTATGTAATTGCACTGCTGCGAGAGTGTGACAAACAGAGAAGGGTGCAAAGACAGAGCCAACCAAGAATATTCCACCTGTCTTGATGTACTACAACTGATAGTCAAACAATGCACCGCAAGTCTTCCAGTGGCCCATGAAGCGCTAATCTTTCTGTGCCGACTCCTGCCTGAACAACTGTCTAGACATAGCAACCACCCAAATTCCTTTGCCAGGCCTCATGAAAATAACAAGTGCTTTGTCCGTCCTGGAAACTGGAACGTTTCAGAGGTGGCTGGTAATGTGGTGCACATTTCCCAGTCTTCTGTATCAAGGTCCTTGACACAGTCTGCTGAGGCGATGTTACCCCACTAAATTTCCCAATGCACAAGAGCAAAGGAGAAGAACAAAGGGAAAGTTTTATTGGGTGTCTGGCTTCCTAAATGTCCTCCGTGCCACTGACTGAACACATGTTGCCATCAAGGCTCCTGCTGAAAATGCACAGATGTACAGAAACCATAAACAGCAGCACAGCTTTAATGTGCAAGTCGGGGGTGACTCAATTGGCCAAATCCTGAGTGTCTGTGCTAAATTTCTGGGCTCAGCCTATGGTTCCACCTTGATGTGAAGACTAGTGGAACCTCTTGACCAGCACAACTGCCTAATTCAGGGGTCTCCAACTCCAGTCCTGGAGAGCTACTATCCAGTAGGTTTTCTGTCCCATTTGGCTTCTGATGAGCCACACCTGCTCCTGTTATTTACCTGAGAACAGGTGTGGCTCATGAGAAGCCAGGTATGATAGAAAACCTGCTGGACAGTAGCTCTCCAGGACCGGAGTTGGAGACCCCTGGCCTAATTGGTAACTAATTGACAGGGGCGCCGTAAGGGGGAGGAAAGCTAGGACGATTCCAAGGGCCCCTGAGTGACAGGGGCCCTAAAAAATTAGGTAAATAACTGGATTGGTTTGGACTGGGGGGCCTAATATGATATGCTTTCATGGGGCCCAAAATCTCTAGCAACGCCCCTGCTAATTGATACAGTTTATAGTTTTCTGAATATAAACCATTGTGGCTCAGTATTTAGCACTGTTTCTGAAAATTTGGGAACTTGGAATGAGTAAAATGATTTCTCATAATATATCTCCAGATGTCAGAGTATAAGAGGAATTTAACTTTGCTGCAATGCCTACCCAATGTCCTATTTTTCAGGTCATGAGTACCCCTTCAGCATAATCACAAACTGCTTACGAGACCATGTGGATCAACCCCACTCAACTGACAACATCCTAACCTATGACGTGATCATAGAGCAACTGCCCAAGGAACAACAGGTCCAGTTCGTCCTTAGATGGAGAAAATCCATGCATAATCATGCCCAAAGCAGTGCTCCAGGTACATGAATATTATTGTCAAAAAAAATTGATTTGCGGTTATGTTTCCAACGTTAATCACTTGTAACTTGTCACCACAGTCTAATTTAATTTGTAAACTGGATTAATTTTTTTTTTCACAAACATGGGAAATTATTATATATGTGTAATATGTTTGCAAGAGTGACTTGATAGTCTATTAGTTGGCATTGCAGTTTTCATACTTCCAGGGTTTAGTTCGCTTTATGGCCTGCTTATGTGTGTGGAGTTTGCATTTCCTCCCCCCAGCCATGTAGTTAGGGTTAGAAATTAGATGGGTAACAACTTCCTGTCATGCCAGTACAGTAAGTCCCATGAACATAATCGTCACAATTTCCTTTCCTGCAATTATGTCAATTTCACGCTAAAGTACTATGCGGTGGATATAAAGAGTCGACATACTTCAGTTGAAACGGCAGTTTTTGAGTGAAGTAAAAAAATGAAACCAAAATAAATCACGTGAGACCTTTTCCACTTCAGTTGTGTGAGAAAATAGAAATCTTTTTAGGTGAAAAAAATTAATTTACAAGAATCCGGTAAATTTCCCACTCTTCCTTGAAATTTTTTTTTAGATTCCTCAAATTGTGAGGGCATCTCCTGTCTACAGCCCTCTTCAGATTTCCAGTTGGATTCAGATCTGGGCCTTCCAAAGCATTGATCTTCTTTTGGTTCCTTTGTTGATTTGGTCATGCCTGAAGGTTTTGTGCCAAAATCAATAGGTATTTGGGGCTAATCATGATTCCCTCAACTTTGGTGAGAGCCCCAGATCTGGCTAAGGAAAAGCAGCCCTAAAGCATGATGCTATCACCACCATTCTTCTCCGTGGGTATGGTGTTCTTTTGGTGATGTGCTGTGTTGTTCTTGTGCCAAACATACCTTATGGAATTTTGACCAAAAATTCAACCTGGTCTTGGCACACCATAGCACATTTCTCCCCATGGTGTTGTGAGCCTGGATGTATCTTTTTGAAAAATGTAGTCAGGTTTGGATGTCTTTGTTTACATGAATAAAGGCTTCCATCTTGCTACCCTGATATTGTTGTCAAATGCAGGGAATACTTGCCAGAAATTTCTGACGCTTCTGTAATGTTGCTGTAGGCCTTTTGGCAGCCTCTCTGACCGGTTTTCTTCTTGCCTTTCTCATTAATTTTTGAGGGACATCCTGTTCTTTGTGGCATCACTGTTCTGCTGTATTTTCTCCACTTGTTGACAGCTGTCCTCAATGTGCTGCATGATATAGCTAATGCTTTGGACATTCTTTGTTATCCCTCTCAAATCTATACCGATCAACAAAGAACAAAGATCTTGTTCCTGCTCTGAAAGTTCTTTGCAGGCCATAGCTTTTGCAGACAACATCAGGAAAATCCTTTAGGGGCAGTTGAACTTTATTTGTCATTCAAAGTCATTTTAGTTGACTGCAGTTGTATTCTAACTACAGTACAAGCACATCCTCAGTTATAAAAGGGTATGCACGCTCCACATAGACAACCAGGTTCTTAAGAGTAATTTCTTTTCCCCTTAAAGGTTTCTGTTCAGTTTCAGAAATATTCCAACCCGCCTGTCCGGCACCAACAGTCATGCCATGGTCACAATCATTTGACATTTTTCCTCATTTTGCTGTTTGATGTAAACATTAACTGAAGCTTTTAATCGGTATCTGCATGATTTAATGCATTGCACTGTTGCGATGTGATTGACTGACTAAATAATTGCATCAATTACCAGGTGTATAGGTGTTCCTAATAAAGTGTATGGTGTGTGTACTATATGTCCTTTATTAAAGTGTGTGGTTATGTTGTTCCATGTCAATCCTTACATTTCCTTTATGGTTTTAATAATGTCCAGGAAATTCTTTGTGTTTTAAAGAAATCTTTCAGAAACACATTGGAAGAAAAAAGTCTCTCATCGACTGGGCTTTGAGAAAAGGAAATAGCAGCTGGAGCAGTGGTGAATCTCACCTATCAACTGCACACAGAAAGCTATTTGGTCATTCGTTATCATCCATCTGTCACAATGGAAACCTTCCTAAACCTATACTGGTGAGAAGACACCTCCAACTGTATACGTAATAAACGGTGTAAAATATATTCATATCACTCAGATATCTGTTATTAGAATCATTAAAGATTCTTTAAATATACAGGTTTCCCCTTACTTAGGAATCCGATGTGTTCCTGAAAATGTCAGGCCATTAATGTCTTTGGGCAAAAAATTAACACGATAAACTTAGGTGAGATTCAAAAATCTCACATGAAATTCACAGAGCACAACTTCACAATAAGGTGCAGAGAAAAACCTTTTTTAAGGTTCAGAGTAAACTTTGAGTGGCTGATGTGGATAATTACTCAGGAATCCTCAGATGCTGTTAACATGCTACAGTTATGTAAACATAGTTATGTTATAGTACTATGTATATTTTAAAACCTCGACAATTTGTAATGAAATCCTTCAGATATTCATCAAGCACAGTTTAAAATAATTCCTGTGCCTTTCCAAAGAAATGAGTATGCCTCACCTACCTAGACAAACAGAAAATATTAAATGAAAATATGTGGAACAGTGTTACATGAAATATTCAGTATTAAGATCAGTATTCCCAGCGTTCTAGACTCAGGTTAATGTTGTTCTGTTTAAATGTTTCATTTTTAGGACATGCTAATCCTCCTTTACCAAGATGGCCCACAAACAAAAGGAATTTTCAGACGTTCTGCCAATGTGAAGACTTGCAAAGAGCTAAAGGAGCGTTTGAATTCTGGGAATGTGGTACAGCTGGAAGCAGAGTCGGTTTTTGTGGTCGCATCTGTTGTCACTGTAAGCTTTTACAAAAGTCTGCCGTTATTGTCACCATGATCAAAAGGAGAATGTACGTCCACCTCTGTATATTAATATATTAATTGTAAATTTACAAGCACATATATGCACATAGCAATCCAGGGTTTCTTGTTGTCTTTGTTATTTATAATGATTTGCTTCTTTGCAGAAAATTCTGCATTCTGTCATATAAGTCAGTGAGTTTAGTTTTTAAGGGAAATATGTGGTGCATTGTTTGTTTGGCAGAGTTGGGTAATTCAGGTCCAGAGAGTAAAAGTCCAGACTGGGATTTTGTTTCAACCAACCAGTTGAGTACTCTGTGACTGTGACTCTTTATGCTCAACTGGTTGGTTGAAACAAAGTCTTGGTCTGGACTTTTACTCTCTGGACCTGAATTACCCACCTCTGTTGTTTGGTTGTGATTTAAGCAATGAAAAGATTATAATTGTTGCTGTAAAATAACTTGCACAATCTAGCTTAATTATCACCATTTCTGGAATTTATAGGATTTTCTCCGCAATGTGCCCGGTAGCATTCTTTCCACAGAGTTGTATGAAAAGTGGATGGAAGTTCTGGACATTGATGGTCATGATGAACAGATCAGGACAATAAAAGGGTGAGGAAAAAATGCCCTTTTGTCCTTGGTTAGTGTCACACTCTGGAGAGCTGCTGTGAAAGAAATCATCGATGTTTCATCCTCTTGCTCAACAGGTTGCTCAACCAGCTACCCGAAGCCAACACCCTTCTTCTACAGCATCTCTTTTGCCTCCTTTATCACATACAGGAGAACTCAGAGGAGAATCAAATGAATGCTTGTAATCTAGCACTCTGCATCGCCCCAAACATGCTATGGTTGCCTGTGACTGCAGATCCTGAGCAAGAAAATAAGTCAACAAAAAAGGTGCCACAGAACACCAGGATGTCCATGTCAAGGATATTATGCTGAATCCATTTTAAATGCCTCCTCCAGAAAATGGTTTCTCTTTTGTTTTTCATAGATGCATGACTTCTCCCACCGTTGCTTTCATATTATGTGTTTTGACAACATGGATCAACTGAGTAAATAAACACAAGAAACAGGAATTGGTCCCAGTAAAGTAATTTGGGGAGACTTGGCAGTTAGCAGCAACATTGTGTAATGACAACATGGCTGCCAACATTCATTATATTCTCTGTGTTGAATATCAACATTTTCAATAGGCCATCAATACAAAATGAAACTTCAGCCAAATGCCAGTGTTTATCACAGTGTTTTCTACCATTTGTTATCATTAATTACATTCTGTTGCAACTGCTCTATATAAAATATGCAGATTGGATTTGTTTTGCTTGTTTGATCTTATAAAGATCCATGTTTCTATCTTATGAATTTATATCTGATAAGTTTAAAACAATTCTGCCAAAAATACAGAAATGCAGAAAATTCTGTTAGCAAACAATAAAAATATTTTTGTATCAGCTGGGGAATTATTAAATTGATATAAGATGTGTACGCAAGCACTGTGCAAAATGTTTTTTTTAATTCATAATGTATATGGAGTTACAAGCAAAATAGATTTTCAAATTCAGAGTGCCATTCTCACAGTTCAGAGAAATATATCGTAACTAATTAATCACTTTTCTGTCCAATTCATTTACGTTTTCTAACACTTGCCATTTCAGACCAGTGGACCAAATGGCATAAGAAAAATGGAAAACTTACATATATACATATATCAACCTCAGTAATTTTTAACACAAATTATATTTTACCTTAAGGATGAACTTGTGATGTGATATTTATTCAAATGTATTTACTAATCAGATGCAATCATAGTTACAACTGAGTTTTTTCTCAATGTTATTCCCTAGGTTGCCAGCCTTGTACAACTATTGATTGAGAATACCAACACCATATTTGGCCATGACATTGAATCTGTGTTCACAAATATACATGGAAGTCAAGAAAATTTGGAGGATGCTTTAGGTACATTCTGAATTATTATATTCATTGATATTAATTGGTCTACGCAAACATTTTTCTTACAGTAATAATATATTTCCTTTCTGCTTTCAAGGTGATTATTCCCCACAACGTTACTCTTCAGATGAATTTGATTCGGAGCAGGAAAGACTGAAAGGACTTCACAGTTTTGATACGGATTCATGGTTCCTGCCATTGAAAAATGACATTGTGAAAGAGGAGAAGATGTGGAGTCTTCTGGATGAAATTGACATTTTCAAATCTCAGTACTGGACAGAGGACAATGTCTGCTGTATGGATCTGGATGATACGCCTATTTGCTCCAATGTCTACTCTCCAATTGAAGGCCAGGGCATCCAGTCATCTCGTGGTCGATGCTCATCTGAACCCAGCGTTTGCCAGAGCTCACAGAACCTTCTTCACTCACACGCTACTGTCATTCGCCAGTCAAGCTATGATGCAACTCTTAGGCGCGGCCAGGCAAGCTGTTCACAGTACATGAGTAAGCTGCACCTAGAGGAGACATCAGGACCAACTGATGACTTAAGTCCCAGAATGAGCAATCAGCCCAAGCATATGCTTTGGAGATCACCCCAGATTCCATCAAAGTTTAAGGACCAACAGCTTAGACTCACCTTACCCAATATGTCAAGTTTCTCCAGCCTGTCTTCCACAGCCACCTCACCATCAGCATCTTCTTTGAGCTCTTTAGATAGTGCCTTCTCATATTGCTCAGACACTGTTTTCACACCCAGTGATGTCTCCTCCCTAGATTTTATGTTTGGGACAAGTGCAAGGTGGCAACCACTAACACCTGAACCTCCTAAAAAGTTCCCCATGGACTGGACATTGAAAAGGCCAGTGGCCAGAGACCATACCTTGTCATTTGACTGGTCTACCAAGTGCGATGAGCAGGATGAAGAGAAAAAACCCTCTGGAAAGGAAACTAACAACACAATTCATATTAAAAATGTGAAGGCAAGTCAAAGTGAATCTCAATCTGTAAATAACAGTCTGAAAGCTAACAGAGATGAGACTGGCCAGGATCTCAACTATGAAACTAATGGAGGTGATGTGGACTCCAGATATTTACAGATAACACAGCTACAGGTGCCTGAGATTTCTACAAAAATGTATATGAATGAAGAACCTGGAGCTTCTCAAGAAGGTTTAAAGGTGCAGGGCCAAGAAACATGCATGAAACACATTCAGTCCATGAAGCCTGAAAATCTTAATGTGGATAACATGAAGCGGACGAAAATCACTCTCTACATAACTTCCAACAACCTATCAGTGAAAAATCAAACTTCTCAAGCAGTTGAAGAAAACAGATTTTCAGCGAAATTGTCTAATGCCACTACAGACACTCCAGACTTAAAAGGAACGGTAAGTCAGACTGTCGAGGACCAGAAATCCCAGACTGTGTTGTATGTCCAACAACCTCCTTTAATTCTACACTCTGTTTCAACCAAGCAGCCTGAGAAACCGAACACCACAAATAGCACGTTGCCAGGAACCTCATCTGAGAGCTGTACTTCCATGTCAGGTCCGTCTAAAAGCTTCACTAAGGCTAGCCAAACAATAAAGCACACAATTAGAATAAGGCTTCCAGCAGCAGTAAAAAGCACCGTCAAGGAGTACTTCAGTCTCACTGACAATAAGAACTGCCAGTCAGATGTTAAAGGGCCAGAAAAGGAACTGCATAAAAGTAAATTGGAATGTCAAAGTAAAAGTCTTTTGGATGCAGCTGATGAAGATGTTTTAAAATTGAACAATGGAGAAGACTTTTAGTGTAATACATTTCTAACAACAACATTGATTGGTAGTATCAAATTAGTTTTATGACAATTAATTATCTTGAATAAACTGCACTTTGTGAATATAATATTGTGGAAAAATAGGTACTATATATGGGTAGCACAGTGGTATGACTTTTTAATTATTTTCTTGGCATTTGCTTTTGGTCCTAGCCATGTGCAGAGTTGTGGAGTTGCTCATTTTAAAACTCATCACTATGAGGCTCTGGAAAAAATTAAGAGACCACAGCAAAATTTTCAGTTTCTCTCATTTATCAATTTATGGGTCTGCACCTGTGTAAAATATACATTTTTGTGAACTCCAACTCTGGCTCTTTCCTACATTGCACTGATGAAGGGCTCCTTCCTTGCTTTATAGGTCTTCCTGTTTCTAGGAACCTAATACAAACTTATCCTAGCAGTGCACTTCACATCACTTAATGTTTCCCATTCCTTTCAAAGGTCACCTGATGTCATCCTCTGATTAATGAGAAACTGTCGGATAAGTTGATGGTTATCTCTGGGATTAGAAAGTCGCTTCGACCCTCTACCTGGCTGGGTTGTGGTCATTCCTAATGTCTCCTGCTTCACCTTGTACTTCTGTACTACTGTCTTAGAAACTTTGAGCCCAGAAGCAGCCTGCCTCGCAGTGTAGTCTTCTGCCAGCAGAACTAGAATTAAACCAGGATTTAATTGAGCAGATTTTTTGAGAAATAATATAGAGTGGTCTCTTAATTTTTTCCAGTGCTGTACACTAAATGTCAACAATGTTAGTTGAATTTTGGCCATATCAAAAGCAAAACAATTAAAGTGGTATTGCAGAATGCTGAAAGTCTGCACATACTGTGGCCCACCTGCAATGGGACGAAAAATCACCATTTTAAGAGCACAGAATCACAGATTCTATTAAGGATTGCCTGTTTAGTCTGAATGAGGGATTGATTATTTTTATTTAAAAACTTTAAAACCTCATAACTTCTTGATTGGAAAATATGGTTTATTATTGGAAAATGTTTTAACTAAATAGGCCTACATATTTTGTGTATTAAATGAAATGTACAATCTGCAGGACTTTGACCCTAATTGGACATTCCTAGAACTTCTATTTTTTGAAAAAGTATGCTGTACACATATAATTATTTATTTTTGTACTGCAAATACATGACGAAGAATTTAATAATGATGAAATGTGATATCAAAGATACTAGCATTTTGAAAAATACAGTAGTATTAAATTTTCTTTAATTAATAAAGCCTGAAACTGTTGGAAAACCAAATTCCTTTTATATACTGCTTTGTTCAGAGATTTCTTTTTAAAGAATATTGTGCATGAAACAAATATATAGTGTAATTACATTTTTTCTGTATTTTATATATGCCAAGAAATGTATGCAATATTAATATGCATGTATACATAATTTATATGCTAAACAACCTCTTCTATTAAATGTTTTAAATTTGCCAATGAGCAGTAAGTATTAATCAAATGTATATTTAGATATATAAGAATGTAAATTGTAACTGAACATTTAGGAAAAGACATTGAACATTAAGATTTATGGTATGGAACGTACAGATGAGTGCACCCACTAAACGGACACTGGAAAATATTTTGACATTAACAAGAAGAGAGAATAATGCCTTAACACTATTAAAGATAATACAATTACTCTACTTCTTATGTTTGGAGTGCCTGAATCATGTGGATAATGTCATTTTTTTTTATACAAAATAAAGACTTGCTCTTCTGATAGAGAGCACTAATCACAATCTTTTGTATATAATTATAATATAATTATTAATATTAGTAAGATTAATTTGTCATTTTTTAGTTAGTGCATAACATACATTTTTTGCTGCAGCAAGGACATCCCGATATGTGATTTTAAAAGCATGTGTGCAAAAAAAACCATAAGTACCAAAGCACTTAGGTGATTCCATGCATTGAAAAGTGACTCCTTTTTAATTTTGTGAAGCTTGTCACCATCTCTGTGTTCAAAGCTCCTCTAATGTCCTGTTATTAATTGTACTATTCAAAAATAAATATACTCACACTGAAAATGTTCTCCATTTGTTATGAAGATTCTGTTAAACCCATTGCAAAACTGTCTCTAGTACAGCAAGAACCAACGAATAAAATCATCAAATTATATGCTAACTTTTTGAAAAACATTTGTAAACATTGTTACATTTGTGCTTTAGTCAAACACAGAATAAATGAATACAAATCTATAAGCTGCTTTGTAGACACTGTTTTCAGATTTCAGTTTTTTAAAGGATGCCTGTTGCCAAGAAACCTTGTTCCTCCTTCATTAATTTTTGAATATAAGCAGCTGTAGCTGATGGACAACACATTATTTTTCTTATCCAAGGTTACAATACATTTATTTACACTCCAGCAATACACGTACAATGCAAAACTGATATTAATAATTAATGAGTAAAGCATACATTCTGGTCACTTTTATTTACCTTATATCAACTACTACCCTGAATAACTACAAAAATTGTGACATGGCACCTCAATAGCATGACTTTATTGATTTATTGACCTTAATGATATTTCAAACAGCTAAACCATAGCTGTCAATCAGGCCGTGAACAAAATAACTCTTTTAAAAACTAAAGTATTCCAAATACTGCAAAAACACAGACATTTCTATTCTGTTTGTTCAGCCATTTACTCCTCACGTCCTTTTCAGAACAGTAACTGATCTCACTAATGAGGCTGTCAATTTGTAAATCCAAGTTGCCAATACAATTCCTTCTACTTTTAGCAGTGACAGTTTTGACTTCTGTTAATATCAAAATTAACCAGATGCTGTCTGTGCAGCAATGTATTTCATCACCCCCTCCACCTGTTTAATCGCTACTTTTTCAACACCCACCAACCTCTTCAATCTCTAATCCCCTTACACACTCTCCCCATCTCCCCCAAAAAAGCCCAGCTTTGTGTGATTTGTCTCAATGTATTCTGGTCTACCAAATCGGTGTCTATGGCTATCCTTTCATGTGACACCACTAAAGCCTGGGTCATACTTCACTTTTCCACATGCGCTTTCAGACTAGAGACAGTCATCCATGCTGCAACTTGTATTCATACTACATTTGGCTGTGGATGCAGATGGTCGTGGTTGGTGCATGAATACTGCAGTGATATTCCACCAGACCAGGAGAGAGCAGGTGTATTGCAACAAGCACAAATACAAGCAGTATAGTGAAATGGGTAAACAATTATGAACAGTTTTTAAATTATTAGTCAAGACTTGGGTGTTACTTATTATGGTAATAAGGCATTTCACATTATTTTGAAATCCTTGCAACAAAAGTATCCAGAACCCCAAACCCACCCACCCCCCCCAAGATGGCAAAATGCTGAAATAGTGCTGCTTTTAAAAAATATTGTATACCTCAATGTAATATATGGACAGTATGAAAATTAGATATGCGGGTATCTCTGATCCTCCTCATGCAGTTGCTCACCATAACTACAATAACAACAACAACTACTCTTCCTCTATTCATTTTTTGTTGAATGCTGATCTTTGAAACTCCATTCTGCCACCTACTGGAAATACCTATTCAATTATCTTGCACATGCAAGGTTGATGCACACAGATGCATTTCCGTTAGGCATGAAAACCTGGGCTAAATGAACCCAACCGCAGTCATCTGCAGCCAACCCCTGATGACGAAATTTGACTTCCGCAGCTGCTCTTTCTTTCCTTTGTTGTCACCTTGCGTGATTTTGGTGCAATTTATCTTGAAATGAAATTGCATGTAAATCTTTATGAAGGATCATCCACTATGTGAAAATGATTTGATTGAGAAAAAAAATGTAGACTTTGTTTTTAAATATCATGTACATGGATAAAATAAAATATATATGAGCATTTTGATCAAAATCTCTGTCAGAATTTGCTATGGTGATGACTCCTGATCTTTATCAATTTAATATTTTTACAAAGTAATAACAAGATCCATGAAATACTTTTTAGTTATCATCTTCACAAGTTCAAGTGTCTTCTGCAGTCTCTGTTTTCTTCTTGACTCCCACTTAGCAGCGTTGGTTCAATTTTGGTGTGATTTCTCTCAAAATTTGATTATGGTTCCAGATCTTCACTCATATAATATGTTTGTAGGATTTATCCATTAAATACTTTATGAGTTATCACTCTAATGAGAGCAAATCTGAGATTGTTCTTTTCATTGCTATCAATACGTGCCACTGCTTTTGTTTTGTTGTGATTTGTTTCAAAATTTGATCTGTTATGTCTTCACCTATATAATGTGTCTGCAGTGTTTATCCCTGAACTACTTATTGAGTTATTGCGCTAACAAGATAAGCACCTGCAACAGCACAGCTTGAATAAGCTACAAGGGACTGTACTTCTGTGGGCTATAAGGGTCCTGTGTGATGTGGATTGGCTGCCAGGCAATCCCCAGTTACCGAAACTGGCTTTAGGAATATGGAATGTAACTTCGCTGGTGGAAATGGAACCTGAGTTAGTGCAGGAGTTAGAGAGACACCATCTTGATATTATGGGGCTCACCTCAATGCACGGCATAGAAACTCCTGGAGAGTGGCAGGGCTGTATTCCACTCTGGAATTGCCCTGGGTGAGAGGTGTCGAGCCTCTGGAAGGGTGTGATTGGGAGGAGTCGGACAGTGCCTCTGAAATAGAAGAATGGGGTGGTGGTCCGAAATTTTAAGAAAGGGGACAGGAGAGTTCCTACTTCAGGGCGATCATACTCCCTAGCCTCCCAGAAGAGACTTGTGTCAGGGTACTGGAGAACACGGTCATTGTACAGGTCAGTCGTGGTGAAGAGTGAGCTGAGTTGAAAGGCAAATCTATTGATTTAACAGACAATCTACGTTCCTACTCCTACGGTCATGAGGTCTGGGTAGTGATTGAAAGGATGAGATTGCAGATGTTGGAAAGATTATGTCTGTCAGTTGGCCTGGGAAGGCCTTGATATCCTGCCAGAGGAGCTGGAGCTGGAGGAGGTGGGAGGAGAGAGCGAGCTCTGCGTGAATCAAGAAAGATTACATGAATCTAGAAATATTATTTTTTAGATTTTTAGCATTTAATTTAACAATATGTTTTTCTGTTTGCAAATCCTGACATTATAGTGGTAATTTTAAGATTTTGTACTGTGACATATCACCACCCAGTGGACATTAAATGCACCATGCCAAGATTTCAACATCTCCTTTGTTTTTATCTAACATGATACAAATGACCAATGTTTCAAAGTTATGAAAAGTAATAAAGTTGAAATGTGAAGTCATAGAGAGTTGCAGGCAGTTTTTAATAAATATGTGAGGAGATTTGTGTAGGTGCAAACACTAACACAACTCAGTAGTTAGAGTTATTGGACAGCTGTTGGCCTTGGGATTTCGACGTTTATGAAAACTGACATACTGCATATGCTTTTTATCGTGAGATTTTTTTTTATTACATTATGCATCAAAAATGATTGAACATCTTGTAAAACAGAATTCCCAAATAATGATTATTACAATTCATGGGAAGGTAATAACTGTATTAAATATGTACTCAGCAATGACAGCATTTAAGTATGTTGTTAAATCCACTATTGGTTAAACACTGCAAATATTTAATATTCTAGTATTTTGCATGTCCAACATTACTTATTATAGCTCTGTACCAATTCATAGCATGCTGTCTGCCTACCCTGTAGCACTCTTGCAGGATGACCTCCTTCAGTGTCTTGATGATTGAGTACTAATGCTGTGTGGCATCTAATCAGAATTTCCCAAAGGTGCTCAGTCAGGTTGTTGGTTGACATACTTGGCCCATGTGCTTTGTATTTGCTTAAGAATGGAGCAATGAATGTCTGGGGACCTTGTTGTGTTGACAAAGTGTCCAGCAACTTGTGATGTGGATAAAAGGTAGCATCTTGTCTTTTAGGATCTTGCAGTACATCTGTGAATTCATGATGCCATCAATGAAACAGATTCTCAGCCTTCATACATCCCCATATACAGTAAGAACACGAACAGCGCCATGCTTCACTGTGGGAACCGTGCGCTTGTTGCTTTACTCTTCCCCTGAGAGACACAATATCTTTTGGGCACCATCAGATCCAAGAAGATGATTTGGTCTCACTCAGCCGGATGAGAGATTCATGAAAGATTTCCCCTTTGCTAATGTACCTTTGGTATTTGGGTATTCTTGTGCTTTGGCTCCAGGATTGGCTCCCTTCAGATTGGCCCCTCGCTGTGCAAAATCTGTCTTATTGTACGAGATGAAATAATTATTCCGGTTTAGCTTTCCACAGCCAGTTTTAGGGGCACTCGCTTTGCAAATTTTTTCCAGCAAAAACATAGTGTCTGCTTGCAGTGGTGACCTGAATGTTTCAGGCTGCTTTAGGGTGCAAAGGGACCAACACCACGTCAGCTTTGAATGGGCTTTAGTGGCAAGTGTTGGCAGCTTCACATACCTTGATATTTACATAACCAAGGACCTGACCTGGTCCCTGCACACTGACTCCTTAGTTAGGAAGGCTCCTCAATGCCTGTAGTACCTTAGGCATCTCAGGGACTTCAGGCTGTCCCTCCCAAGACTAAAGAATTTCTACAGACCCATCATCAAAAGCATCCTGACGGGGAACATCACTGCCTGGTTCGGGAACAGAACACAGCAGGATCATAAGGCTCTGCAGAGAGCCGTGTGGTCAGCCGTAATCAGACCTGCCCTTCTCAACCTCCAGAACATTTAGGCCAGACGATGCAGGTCCAGGACTACAAAGATTATTAAGGATCCCAGCAACCCCAACAATCTGCTGAGGTCGGCCTGAAAGCCAGCTCAGAAAGGCTGAGGAAGAGCTTCTTCTATTGGCAATGCAGATCCTAAATGAGGACAGTGTTTAGAACCCGCACACCAACGTACGCAACAGCCTACTTAACTTGCATATTTAGATATATAAATACACATATACATATTTATTTCTGGACTCTTGCACTACCTCCACTTACTGCCAATTTTGCACAAAATAGATATTGTGATTTTACTCAGTGTCTAATGTTGGAGGTAGGAATCCGTGCATTTCACTGCACACTGTACTCAGCATGACTATGTATGAAGTTCGAAACTTTCAACTTTCAACTTGTGCTACTTTGTTTTGGCTTGAAATCAATGATTTGCCAGTTTTCTAGTACTTTTATTGACTTTTGAGAGCCTGATCTCTTGACAAATAACCCGTAATTAGCCTCAACAGACTAATTTCGGAATTTTAGACTCATTTTCGCAACATAGCCTTTTATCATATTGCAAAATAAATACATTTATAACTTGTAAAAACGTTAATTTTATAAGCTTATTTAGCTTTCGTAGAGGGTGTACTCATTTATGCTGTGTACTATATATTAATAATATTCCTAACTTTTAAACGTATACTCTGTGGCCAGTTTATTAGGCACACATGATTGTTGACGTGAACAGTGTGAAACTACAAATAGCAAATTATGTGACTGAATACCTGCACCACACAGACGAGGTGAAAAGGTTTAGCTATCATTTGAATAAACATTAGAGTGGCTAAAATCTGCCATCTAAATGTTTCTGAATGTGGTGTGATTGCTGGTGTCAGAAGTGGCGGCTCCAGCATCTCAGATTTTCATGCAATACGGTATCTTACGTTTAGAAAGAATGGCCTAATGAACAAAACAATGCTCTCAATGGCATTTTCGTAGCCAAAAAACACCCTGTTAACATGGTGTTAATAAGAGCAGTCGGAGACAAATGGTCATTAAAGTTGACAGGAAGGCCATGCGTTGAGAAATAACAGCTCATTATAAAAGTGGTCTGTAGATAGGCTTCTCAGAACACACAATTCGTCTTCCCTTGAAACGGTTCTGGAGGCAAAAGTATGTCCTACCCAGTACTAGATAAGTGTACATGATAAAGTGACCACTCATTGTATATTATTAGCATTTTGCTCTATAACAAAACCTAATTATTGTTCATACTGATGCTGATAACATTTTGTTTGAAAACGTTCTTCAGTGAATAATCACTGGTGACTACTCGCTTCTTCTGTCTTTAATCTCCTGGGGCACATGCACAGTCATGCCATCCATCCATTTCTGTATGTTTATCTGGCAGCCCAGCCTGGATCTACCATAAAAGAAAACACGTTCATATTATTATGACCTCACAATTATATAAATGACCTGACTACTACACAATGTCATATATATTAAATAGTATCCATATTCAAAGGCTTTTTGCATATAGAAGCAATTTTTCAACACATACAGCAGATTAATTTCAATATACTAGGATGTTTCAATCATTTTGAGGTAGAACTTACGTTTTAGTTTGCCCGTAAGCTAAATCAAGCATATCCATCTCCTCATCCATTATGGGTCCCAGTTTGTTATAAATGTTTTCATCAAAAATTAGGTGGCAAGTGGAGCACGCTAATGTTCCCTCACAAGCCCCTGCAAAGGAAAAGCATTGATAAAATGAAATACAACTGATGACTCAGATGAATCTCACTGCTGAAGTAGTTTATTATTTGTCTAAAATCCCATAAATCCATATTGCTACTACAGAAAATCATATAAGATAATGCAGTATCAAATATAACGGAGTCTGGAAATGCAGAGTACCAGTAAATCCTGTGCACATTGTGTGGAACACAGTTTTGCGCTAATTCCCAACTTCCTTACCAAAGCCACTGATGTCCAGGTTTTTATTGACGACAACATCCAACAGGGATTCACCCTCTGTGACTTGTGTAGTGGTTTTCATGCCGTCTTGATTAACAATGTGCAGTACAACCTTTTCTCCTGCGCTGCTAAAGGCCATGACCATCCCAACACGAAAGATACAAAGTTAAACTTCAATTATATGCAAGTTTGACAATTCTTGCACACTAATATGTGCAAGCTATTGTTTAACTATATAGTCATAGTTGTAAATGTAAAGTACATACATTAAATGTGGATTATTAGACAATCGGCACAATTTGTCATATGCACAGTATGTCCAAAATGTACTAATTACCCTTTAAATTTAAATTCAATATATACTTGCTGGAATAATAACTCATATATTGACAGCATGTGTTCTTTGACTTCTTCAACTAAAATATATACAGACGCTCCTCTACTTACAGCCAGAAGTCGTATTAGGTGGAATTGGAAAAAAAAAAATTGATGTTGCGGACAGGAAACGGGAGCCCAATGAACACAATTTGGACTTACAGTCCTCTTCGTTCGTATGTCTGAAAGTTCGTAAGTTGAAAGTTCGTAAGTAGAGGAGTGTCTGTATACACACACACACACATATATAAATCACAGATTTGGTCATACAGATTTTCAAAGGAAATAAGTGCATGCCTATCCTAAGTCACCAAAACGTTTTACCTGGTGTCCTGAGAGCTGCTGCTACGCACTGAGCACCGGCCAAATCCTTTATGCCAGACGCATTGTGGCACTCTGTAGCCTGAGCTGAGAGGTGCACCCAAAAAGCTGCCCAAAATAGGGGAGCAGAAACGCACAAAACTGGCCATGCTACTCAAGTGTGCATGAGGGTTGGCTGTTACAGTACATGAGCATTTACAGACAGACCCCATTGTCCTTGAATAGAGCTCAGCCCATGGGCAGGGCCGAAACACATGAAATTAAATTAACTCACATTTAAATACAGGAATCCATAGTTAAAAGGTATGATTTCGACCCAAATTTTTCAGCAACCTTTTTAATTCATTTTTGAGCGTTACGAGTGACTTGGTTAAATACAGGGCTGCAAAGGGCTGAGCTTTGCTTGTCACTTGTTGCTAGGCTTTTGTTTCATTTCAAGATTTCAAAACTAGATTCAATGATTTTGCAGAATTTCCAGTTTTTTTCTACTTTTAGTTTATTTCTACTTCTGCTTTTCATTCCCATTTTCATTAACTTATTTAACCATTTATTAAAAAGATAAAATTTTTTATCATTTGTATCGGTAACATATGCTTCATTCTTTTTGTTAGGTCGTCCTACAACTGGCTTACGTTTGGCCAATGTGAAAGTAGACCTACTTAAATCGAGTTAAAGCTAGAATTGCTACCAAATTTGACATCCAGTTTTGAGCTCAATGATCTGAATTTAATAAAGTTATTGGTAATAAAATATAACACTACCTAATTTTAACAACCCATCTTACAAAAATCTTTTCTTCCTAAACATTGTCTAAACAATTCCTTAAACTTAAGAACTAAAATGAACTAGCTGTTTTGAAAACATTCTGCAATGATGGATCTGTGCCGTCATGGCTGTACATCAGTACCTCATGACCAAGGTCTATCAGCCATTCCAGAAAACCGTTCAAGGACATATTGACCTTGTTTTCAAATACTGGAGTGGCTACAGCACACATTCACCCATTTCTCAATCAAAACATACACATATTACCATGCATTTCACATAATGACAATAATGCAAATATTTGCACAATTCTATTTGATAATATATAATTACCGATTACAACATTTATTAAATTGTATTGTGCCTCGTTTTCATTTTAACAGATTCCAGAAGTCTAAGCAGTTTAGAATGTTTAGTAACAGATAAGACCCTGAAACTCTATGAACATGACTCATTCTCAGCAGATAGTTAGAAGGACAGAATGTTTTTAAAGCCATCAGTCATTCAGTCTGATCTTAAGTTCAACCCCTTTAGTTTTGTTTAACCATTTAATACTATTTGTGCCATTATGATTGTGTTTGTTGATGCAACCTGATGTGTGAGACATGAATCAACACTAAAAACAACTGTGCTAAATGAGCAAAAGATTAAGCATACGACTTTCGCGGACTGAAGGCAAATATGCCACGACACCATATACTATGATGCATTTCTGCAATGACTTACGGTTCCTATATCTCAATTAAAATACATCTCAATTCATATTGATTCTATTTATAAACATCTGCTGCCATTTTTCCATTTTTGGAGTCTCAAAGAGGAAATCCAGTGGGTAACTGGACAGGATAAAACAAAGTAATTATGACTGGTGAATTTGCATTATTTCACTACCTGTTAAAGCCCTATACTGTGACATGTCTTAAGAATTTTCATCATTGGAATAAAAAGTGCAAAATTCTGGAGAACCATATATGTATTTGAAGGTATTTAGACAAGAACGAGTATCTGGTGTCCATGAAATGAATAAAATTTCTTAAATGTCTCAGTTAGGTACAACTTACCCAGAGAGAGCTACAAAACAAATACTATACAGTGTCATCAGTTAACCAGAATGGCACATACTTATGCATATACTTTACCAATAAGGAATACCAGCAAATATTGTCTTTTTTTTAAACTTTATTTTAACAATTTAAATGAAAAAAACAAATCAAGCAGCCAGCTTGTAATTTATTGAGAGTCTGTCTGTGCTACAAAGAACAATGCAATATCAACATCTTTTTACCCAAATGACAGTCATCCAACTTTAATAAAATTTAATTAACAAAAGCTACACAGCAACTTTTACAGTAGTAATAAATCATTTTGTGGCTTAATTGAATCAGCACAATAACCAAAAATCTGCCGTAATTCTGGGGTCTCAAACTCAATTTAGTGAAAATGGTGTCCTGCAGAAGTCACCTGATGTGTTTTAATTAGGGCTGATGGTGAATTATTTCAGTATTCAATGAATTTAATATTTTATTGTGTGTCTGGAAATAAAATGATACAATGATACAACGACAGAATAAATATCTCAGATGCAGCATGATTATACAATGATTGGATAAATTCAATTAACAGTTGTTGAGTTGGCCATTCATAACCCCAATCATGATGTTCTGCAGCTGAACAGTAAGCCTGTTGTTAGGATCTGAGTTTGAGATCCCTGATACACTAACCTTAAAATAAGGCTTTCTAAAAACAGAAACTAAACATTCACTTGTTAGATAAAAAAACCTATTTAGTTTCAGCTACTCCTATTCATAAATGCACTCAATACAAGAAATATTTAGATATGTAGATCCAACTACAAAAAAGGAACAAAAACAACTGCAGCATCCCAGAATTTGACTTTTTATTTTTGTTTGTTATTCTAATACAGACTTCTGACAAACTTTACTGCACATTATTTTTTGTTGTTAGGCTTTAAAAAGAAAAAAAAAATGTGTGCTTAAAGAAATTGACCACCTGCTTAAATGGTGAACATTAAGCTTAAAATTTATAATAGGATAAAACTAAAGATGCTGAAATGTTATTTACTGAAATTACGAACAGTGGAGGGCCATCCAGAAAACAAACAAACCTGCTTCTTTGTTAGACTGTTATTTTTGTTATTGTACAAATTACAATGTTCAAAACTACCAGTGGGAGTCTTCATATTATTATTTGGATTTAAGCTTTCCTTGAAGAATGAGGTAATTTTCATATTTTAATTGCACCTGAGTTTGACTATATTTAACAAGTTATCTCTATATAAAGGTTTAGAATTCTTGTTCACTTAGCGATAACTGGGACAAATAATTCTGCATTTTATACTTTGCTTTGTGAATGTACTTCGAACCTTACATGAGGAATTTATGAACCCTACATCAAGTCCCATTACTCACGTAATGGTATTCAAACATGATAACATTATATTTGATTGTTTTGATAGTCCAGCATTATCCCTATTTGTAGAAGACAAGATATCTTGTGTAAAGCAGGTTTGAAGTGAAATGGAAAAGGCCCTGTTTAATTCCCCTGTAGTGGTTCCAGCAATTCTGTTTACTAGAACGCATCACATGCATTCAAACTCATCAATGCGCTGTTTGGTGTTGCCTGACCGGATCTGCCGCAAGGTCTTGTACTTGTCCCGACCTGCCCGCACGTTTTCCGCATGGATCATGTCATTCTGTGTTCGCTTTGTCTCATCTCGTGCGTTGGCCAGTTCTGAGCTAAGAGCCTGAAGGACAGCAGACAACACAAAAAGTAAGTTATAAGTGCGGTAGGTATGGTTTTATTTTCACAATACTATTTTTATTATTTGCTTATTAGTTCTGTGCAGTATGTTATTAATATGCTACTTGAGCACTTGCTTACATCTTGATATATACAAAATTTTTTGATCTATTAATTATCCAGAAACTAACTGTTAGTTACGTACTGAAGGCTTGTTTGTTCATCATTAACCAATCATGACGGTTCATGTATTTCATGCATTTACTTCATTTGTTCATGATTTGCACTACAGTAGTAACTGAGTGTTTTGTGCCCCCTCAAGTAAGGTGTAACCAAATAATGTTCTACATAATATTAATGTAAAGTTTACAGCCAAAAGGTGTGAGACGTGCAAATGCACAAGTGTATATGAGCATACAAATGAACCAGGCATCATAGATACTGACCATTAGGTGCTTTTGCACGCGTTCATTCTTCTCAGCCTCTGTCATGCGTTCTTCTTCACTACGGTCCTTGTAGGCTGCAGCAGATGTGAATTCAGCGCTGGCTTCAGCGTTGCTCTCATCATCCTCGTCATGCTCATTCTCAGCATGGACTGGTTCTTGCACGTGGGCAACCATCACCTTGTTCTTCAGCTCTTCCTTGGTCTTCTCCAGGTCTTCCTGTACCATAGTGGCCTGCCAAAACCCAGAGTCAGTTAATTTTTTTCCCCTTAGCGATTTCAGTCAAGAGTCACATGCCCACTTTATCAAGGTCTATTCTTCATAAATGCAGTATCATTTGGGTTTTTCTGAATGTACTTCATGAACCTGACACACATCTCCTGACTGATTACAGTAAGTATTGCACATACAAGGTTGTGGGTTCGACTGCTACTCAAACTATGTGTGCATGTATGGTATCCTTGCACCCGCATATGTGAAAAAAGCATTTTAATATAGGCCTACCTGTACTTATGCAAATGGCATCAATTCATGACCTTATACCGAGTCTTTTAAGAGCCATATACTTACCCTGGCTCTAGATAACATTTTTATTGCATTCATTTTATTTAAGGGGATGAAGCTTAAATCGGTATGTTAGTACAACAGATACGTGCTAAAAGGTGGAAGAAAGCACATACTTTTTGTTGCCATTCAATGGCCTCATCTTCCTTCTTTTTCTTTGCATCTTCTAGAAGTGAGATCTTGGAAGTAAGTTCAGCCAGTTCAGTAGCCTGGAAAAAAAATCAAAATTGTTTCCATTAAGACTTTTTTCTAGTATTCAAGACAGTTTGCATATTACAGTTCATATTTGTGTTAACGGCACTTTGTGTCTTTTGCAATATATTTTAGCTATTGTCCTACATACTCTGCTAAAGCATGTTAGTAAATGTAACCTTTAATCATATCTGTTTCTAATAATGCTGCCAAATCACAATGACAAAGCAAGACACATAACCTTGCCCTGCACGTTATAATATGAGTCGACTAACGTGGACTGAAATTTCAATGACCCATGACTGTTTTAGAGGCGAAGGTGAACTCAATAAACCAAAAGCACACAGACCAGATGTTCCTGGTTCTTCATCTGGCTTTCAGCCTGCTGCAGCAGGGTCATCTTGGCTTCCTCCGCCATCCGGCGGTCCTTCTCCAGGCGTTCGGCC